AGTTGTGGTCGAACGGGGACCTACCAATTAAAATGTTCTGATGCGTAAGATCAAGAAATGTCTCTAGTTTCCCCGGTGACATGGGCCTGGGCAGACTGGGAGCCTGGACGTGGAAACAGGGACTGGGGTTGCATTTAGCGGGGAGGGCTGTTAAAAGGAAAATTGCACGAGAGCTTATTAAGTAACGTTAAGTAAAGAGAAGAGGTGAGGAGACCACACAAGGGACAATAGAAAACGTCAAAGAAGAGAGACTGGGATGTGAATTGAGATGAAGAGATAAGAAGAGAATCTGACCGTGCACTGCCCATAGTTTGAACCTTCTTGTGAGTGAGAAAAACCCGCAGGCACGGAATTGATGGGCAAAAAGTTAAAAGCATTTATAAAATTAGTAGATATTGCCAAATTTCTCTCCAAAAATGTTGCAACAATTTACTCTCATCGACTGCACATGACTATGGCTGTTTCTTACATCCCTACCAAAACTACGATCTTTGCCAATATGAAAGGAAAAAACTTTAAAGGTATACTTAGATGTTGTGATTTGCATTTTTTTAACTTATGAGTTAGATTATTATTAGATTGAACACCTTTCTACGTGTTTATTTCTTTTTTCTGGTAGATCCCTTTATATTTTGTTACCCATTTTTCTATGAGGCTTTTAATTTTTTTTATAGTGATTTTTAAAAGCTCTTAATTGGTTAAGGAGATTAGCTCTATGTTATTAGCCAAGCACTGTGTTGGCAGAACATTAAGAAGCCTCTGAGCGCTTCTTTGAAAAGACAATTCAGTCACTTTAAACAAGGAAAAGTTCATCAAATGGGCCCTCTTAAGTTCTAAGTAGGAGCCAAACAGGCAGGCACCGCCCCAAGGGAGGAGGGTGACTGGAACATTTTTGTGGTTGCAGGGCAGTCCTAAGCCAAACTGCCCTCGGTGCACCGGAACAATGACAGCGGAAAGGGTCCGGTGAGTGGGCAGAGGCGCCAGGGAATGTAGTGTTGAGTCTGTCACCAGTTCCTTCCCTGAGGAGTTTTACTAGTTTTAGACCCTCTTTCACAGATCGAGATGACCTCAGAAAGGGGCAGGAGACAATCCTTAACGTCCGCAAGGAGGAACTCACTGTGAGGGAAGTCTGAGGTCCAGACCTGAGATGGGGTATCAATCAAATGGCCTGGGGTTGGGGAAAGGGAGACGGTTGGCTCTGATATGGGGGCGGGGCAGCTACAGGTGGAGCCCCTTCTGAGCCAGACAGCCTGGAGGGCATGTGTTGGGAACAAACTGAGGTGCTCTTTTTTGCTTGGGTGCTAAGGTGACAGCCACCATAGCACTGCATCATTTATCCTCCATCAGGGCAGCCATAGACTGGTGAGCCTATGAGTCAGGATTGCAGCGGAGACACAGATGTAACAGATTGTGCAGAGCCAGGGTTCAGCGGTGATACTGTGTGGCAGGCAGGCAGAAGCTCTCCTGCTCTGGGAAAAAGCCTGCGGTGAACTGATTAGTTTCACCAGTCCACCCTCCTTTGCCTGGGGTTCTGAAGCAGGCACCTCTGGAGTTCACGGAGAGGTGGGAGTATCAAGAAAGAGGTGTTGGGCATCTTGATAATTTGACATGGGAGTAATTTGAGTAATTTCAACCTAAAACTTGAGTGTCGGATCGTATCAGTTGCAACATACGTGCTGCAAATGTTAGTTTTGTTTCTTTGGGTTTTTAAAAAATACTTTGGTACTATTATAAGTCATAGAGTTTTAAAATATTTATTAATTAATTGATCATCCTTTGTGATGCCTGTGTTTTATACCAAGAAAAGCCTCCCCCTCTCCAAGTTAGCATACAGATGAGGTATAGATACAGAAAGACTGAAATGTGCACAGATTACTAGGTGACCTTTCAGTGCAATGCTACACAGTTCTTCAAGATTATCTGGAACGATACCTATGGTAGAACGCATGCCTACGATAGCATGGACAGCCATTGGTTACTATAATAAGTTAACCGCAGCCTGTCAATCGTTTTATTAAATAGGTTTCTGCTTCCAGAAACTTGCCTGAGGCGGTGCTGTAAGCTACAGGCCAGATTCTGGTTCTTGAGCGAGGACACAGCCCCAGAGTCTCATGGAAAAGGCCTGTGCCAAGTACATGAAACTATGGACATTTCAAGGCATAGACTCTTGGGTACAAGCTTCTGAGCTGACATCACGTAGACACCTTTCAGGCTGTATGTAGAGTGAGGGTGGATTTCCAGGACTCTTTTCAGTCCAGAAGCAGACAACTTTATGAAAGCAGAATGCTAACCCAAGACCCAGCAGAACGGGATTACACAGGAGGGAATGAGCTGATGCACTATGAATGGGTGAAGGAAAGTTGCTGTGATTGTGTTGAGGCTGTTCTAACGCCCTATTTTCTGGATATGTAGGAGGCCATTTCTCTTTCTTCTTAAGCTATCTTTAATCTACAACAAGTCAGTGGACTCTGCTTTTGTAAAGTGAAATGAAACTTGTTTCTGCTTCTCACTGAACTTCCCTTCATTGCCCCTCAAAATTAAAAATCTATTTGCTTTTTTACAATATTGTTATTTGCATAGGTACAACAAGAACTTTTTCTTTCTACCAGTATACATTAAAAAAAATCGATTATGTAACCATGGCTTTTTTTTTTAATGTCATATTTGAGAATGATGTTCATTTAATCAGTTATGTCAAACAACTCTAAGGAGCAAAGGTTATTTTCATTATGGAGCCAATGAGTACAAAACCACCCCGGGGAAGCTGGCCTGCTACCAACCTTACCTAGGATAGTTGGTAAGAAAGGGCACTTCTTTTCAGGCCAGGAATCTTAGCAAATTCTGGTCAACTCGAGGACAGAGGAATTCCCCTGAATTTATAGACACTGTTGGTGACACATGGGGGAGTTTCTTGGGCTTGCTTCCCTGGCCTTGAGCTAGCAAATAATAGATTTGTAAAAGTGCTACTCTGTGGCTATGAACTATCCAACCCTCCAGATTGCAAAGCAAACCCAAGGAAGCCCATAGGTTAACATTTGTTGGACCTATGCAAATAATCAGGCTAGACCTAATAACACCAGCCTTTTTCTTAAGACCAAGAATAATCTTTGAAATTTTATATTCACAAAGAAAATGGAAAACCTTTGAGAGGCAAAAGGACTACTGGGTGAATTTTCTATGCAGTACTAGATGACCCTTGTAAGTTATCTGATTCTATACAAATTTTGGCACCCCACTCACTTTTTTTTTGGGGGGTGAGCTATTTTATAATTATGTAAATTTTAGAATAATGACAATTATGGCATCTCGCTGTCAGGTGAGATGCAGTCAGTTGCCCCTGTGAAGGCCCCCTTTGCATCTGTGACTCATGTCAGCAAACCTTGGTTGCTCATGTGTGTGTTGTTCCTCGAATTCTCCTTCGAATTATTTTTAAACATCTTACTTGTTCCTTCATTAATAATGAACTGAGTAAAATTTTTGACTTCTTGAATAGATTTGCATTTGTAAAAAAAATGTATCATGTTTAAAGTCTAATATATTTGAGCTTTCTCCAGATATAAGGGGAGATACAGGGGTCTAACTTTTCTTCAAAAAGCTAGTCATTACCTTTTAACATTAGCTCTGTAACGTCAGGAAATGCAATTAAACTTTTCTGGCCTTGTTTAAAAAAAAAAAAAAGCTAGTCATTTTTTTCACCGTTCACTGAGTAACCCTTATTTTCCCCACTGATTTGAAAGGCCACTTTTCTGGTGTTATTTGGGCCATTTATATATGTGTTCTCATTATATTCTCTCTCTTTATTCCAAATCTGTATAAATCTGTTTCAAGTATTATAGCTTTATAATACATTTTGACACCAGGTTATTTTAATGTTGCATTGACCCTACGGAAGAATTGACTATCCTGTACATTCGGGTTAGTCTAAAATTTAAACTAACGAAAGGTAAAACATTGGTATACAAAGAAATTGTCCTTGTTATTTTGGCCTCATGGATCCCTCCCAGACTATGCTCACCAGGCAGGACACAATTATAAATCTAGCAGGTAAGCAAACAGGCCCTGAGTTGCAAAGTTACCAGTGAATCTGTAGTTTATTCCACAGGAGAGGAGACTAACCCTTACTCAGACGGTGAAGTGTGAAACAGGGCAGAGTAGAACAGTAGTAGCAGACACTCCTGGAGCCATAGTGGAAGAAGACGGAACCATCAGAGGACAGCAGGACTGGGGACCTGCCGATTTAGAGGAAAACCCACAGCTGCCTTTCAGGTGTGGGCACGTTAACTGCTTGGGTTTGAAAGTGATCATTACTCACATAACTGTTGCCCTGGGAGTTTTGGTCAGTTATGAAATACAAACAGAATGCACATTAGGATAAAAACGTCAGCTTTATTGTTAATGAAACAAAAGTGCAGTACACAACTTGGACTCTTGTGCCTGAGATTTCCACCTCGAGAACCCAGGTCTGCACCGGCACCGCCCAGAAGAACGGGGCGACACACCCAGGCACCCCTGGAGGCCCACTTGTTCCCCCACCAACTCTGCCCACAGGAGGGATCAGGGTATCAGACTCTGGCCACCTTGCTGGTCTGATAAAGCTTTCCTAATCCATGCCACGGAGCTGGTGATGGACGAGAAAAGGCCAGGCTGCGAGAGCTTTCCCTTCCATCATTCCTGGACAAGTAGGAATGTGGACAGAATGTCCTGCTTTACAGGCAGCTGCAATCAGGTAAAGCTGGGAGTCCCTCCTCCAACATACAACAGAAAATGATATGTGTAAAGATGAACCCGAGTTTAAAGTGTTATGTTCAACCTACTCTGATCATGAAGGGGGGAGAAGGATGTACCACATTTCGGACAGATGACAGGATTCTAGAGTCCAGATGAATGGGTGCAAACCTGTCTTCAGCCGTCCTGAATAGAGTGCGTGCTAAGTCCTCAAACACCCCTCCCCCACCCCGTTTTAGGACAGCATCCCAGAAGAACGAGCAGAAGATTCAGAGTTTGAGTTCATGATTTTAATGTTTAAAAACTATGTTAATAGAGCAGTTATAGAACAGAACTTCTTACATTTCTTTATTTACACCAGATCCTGGGGGGCGGGGAACAAAACTTCTATTTGATTAACCAGGTTTTGTGACTTGTGACTCACTTAAGTTATTCCTCTAAAATTCATTTACAAGGTTCTTACATGAATAAAACAGCAGTGTGCCTACACGCACCGGACTTCAGTGACGTCTAACACACACCGGACGCCAGGGAACGATCGCACGCAGGCGATGCAGACTCCAGGGCTTTGGGGAAAAGTTACTTACGACAGTCTATGTTGGCGTGGACACTGAAGTCAAAGGCAAACATGCACAGCTCTCAAAAGTTCCATAAAATACTGTTTTTTTCCCTCCTTCAAATTTGTGCTCCTAGTGGATGTTCGGGTTCTCCTCTTTTTCAAAAATCCCAAAGTTTGGGAAATGCAGCAATTCAATTTTGAAAAGATAACATTCTCCTCTCCAACTTCTGTTTTTAAAAATACTGTGTCGTGGTGTCAGTATTCATAGCGGAAGAGCATTATGAAGAAACCATTTGTTGTTTTAGGTCATCTATTTCTATGTGGTAATAATTCGGGTCTAAGTATTCCTTAGTTGTAGCTCAGAGGACTACCTTTTAAATAACTGATCTTACTATCAGTATAAGAAATCGATACAGCTATTTCTCAGACATTTCTCTTTCTAAACAATTAAGTAAGACTTTTAGGTTCCAAGTTTACACTGAGAGAACTATGTTTCCTGTGAGAGAATGTAAAATTTTCTAACTCCCAAATGAAACCACTAATATCTATGAAAACTTTTATTCTTCATATGCAGAAGCAAGAGACTTCTATTTCAGTGTGGATCAACAACTGCAAAAATATACAGCCTATTTATTTACAGTGTATTTACATACAAATGAAGTATTTCCCACAATAAGCCTCAGCTGCATAGATACTTCCTTTTAAAAACAAAAATTCAAGCCTGTATACAGATGAGCCAGTTTCATAGCCCTTCCTCCGAGAAAACCCAGAAGGGGAATGCCTAACCCTTGTGAATTTTATTTATTTTCCAAGTACTTCTTTTAGGTTTGGTGATATTTTTTCAGTTGTTAGCCACCCCACTCCATTTTGTACCCAAAAGACTTACATCATAAACAATTCACTGTATTTTAGAGGAAGTATGTTCTACTGCTAAAGGGTCCTCTGCCTGCCATCCCTACAAAAGTCATCTATTAGCACTGCTAAATGCTGTAGTCTGCAACTTCCTTGTTTTGAAAATGGCTAGAAGTTTACTGTGCACTGGAATGGAGGAATTATATCCTTCAGGCTGATGCCCTAAGTCTGAAGCCATTTACATGGATAAACTGAGGGAAACTGATGGCTTTTGCTCTAAGGCATGAACTCAAACATCTGGTCATCTCCCTGACCGCCTCCCCGCCCCACTTAACTGTGCTGTCCAGCATCCAGATGCACCGGAGTGGAACTGAGCTCTACATTCTTTTCCAAGCAGTTTGTAGCTCCTTATTCAGTGTAGACCTTTTCGTAGAGAATTCACTTTAAAAAGAAGACAGATCGATCACTGCACCACAAACTCAGACATTCTGCAGAACTTCCTCCTGACTTGAATTCAGCATTCCTCTAAAGCTGCATTTACATAGGGTGTATTCTTTTAATTCCTCTTTTAAAAAACACCCCAAACCAGAAAAGTTAACACCTCACCTTCTTCCTAGGTCTAAAAAATGTGCACTTATTGTGCCTCAACCCAAAGTTACCCCAGAGTGCAGACGGCCTCTGCTCACCATTCAGCACCTGCATCAGCCTTTCCAGGGGGCAGGGGCTGGAGGCTCTGCTACTGAGGCCTTCCCCAAGTCCTGGCCTCCATTTCTCGTCCCACGAGTCCTATGAACTGTCCTCTGGCAGGGGGGATGAATAGGGAGAACAAGGGTGAGACTAACTGGCTCAGGGTGGCACTCAAACTTAACATGCATCAAGACCACCGAGGGGGGGGGGTGTTAAAAACACCAGTCCGGTCACTCCTCCAGTCCCCAGCCTGATTTCACTAGGTCTGGAGTAGAGCCTGAGAATGTGCATTCCCACCTGCTGCCGCTGCTACTGCTGGTCTGGGGGCTACACTTTGAGAACCATTGGCTCAGAGGCTCAAGTCCAGAAGAAAGTCAGCCCTGGAGTAACTGCAGGTCCTCTGAAATACTGTGGAATCCTACCACCGTCCTTTGTCCACGCCAAACCCCATGGCCATCACCCACGTGTGCCTTCCTTTACTAGCTGTGCAAATGTAGAAGGAGGAAAGTGGGCAGAGAGCTGTTTCGCCCCCGTCTGATTACCGGGCAGTGAGACGATGGGTTGTTAGCACTGAACCATTAGAGGTGTTGTGTGCTGGCTCCAATGACGGGCAGATGGCAGGGGCTCTGCAGCAACGTCCTTTTTGTGTGTGCAGTGAGCAGGAAAGGTGAACTATGGCGGCAAAAGGCCCTAAAAATAGAAGCAGGCAGGCCAAGCCTGAGACCCCAGAGAAAAGAAGGTATCGGCCGAAAAAGGCCCCCAGAGGTTTACAGCTCACAGAGCCCCTTATCCTCCTTCACCTCCTCCTACCGCTAGGTTCTCGGGCAGCCCCGGGCTTATCCTTCCCCTCCTTTGCCGGAGACCCGGCTTCAGGCCACTCTGGTCACCTGACTGGTGGCAACCCTGCACACCCCAACCAGCAGGCACGGTGGCAGTCGTGGACACTCCAGACACCACCACCAACAGGAGTGATGCATCCTTGGCACTCTGAACAACTACCCCTAGAAGGAATATTTAGTGGTTAGGTTCTTCAACAACCTTGTGATATTATCCAGTTTCAGCTAAACTATGGGTTGAATTATCTTTTCCAGCTGTTCTGGGGGCCTAACCACCATGAACACTGGTTTCAGTCCAGGTTGCAATCAACGGACAGTGTTTTGCAATATGATCAGCTTGTAAACTGGGGACTGCCTCTGCCGAACAAGACTGAGTTTCCTCCCTGGGCGCACTTTGCTGCCCGCACTTCTGCCAGGTAACATGAAGGAAACGAGGGCTTCATGGTACCCCGTACTGCACTGACGAGAGAACAGTTCTGAACGCCAAGCCTGAAACTGGCACTGCCCACTGGTGTGGAGACCTGTCTACCCAAGGACAATGTGCTGCTCCCAGTGGCTCAGGATCATGTTCGGTAGTCTACTAATTTAGCAGAAAAACCTCTATAGTACTTGACTATATTGTTTAATTCTACCTAACTTCTGTGATACATGTATTTTTGGCTACCAGTTTGCTACTCCGAACAAGAAGAGTAAGTGCAGTATACTTTACAGTTAATCTGACACAAATGATGTCATTAATCAGTGATATTGGACAAATTACAGTAGGGACTATTATATTCAGTCAACAATAAACTTAGATAGACATATAAAGAATATTTTTAAAAACCTGTGTTATCACAGACATCAACAATGTATCTCCTCTAAATAAATACACTTTAAATAATTATTCCTTGTACTAACACATAAAATCCAGAGATCCAAAAATATCACTACGCATCCTTCTTCCCCCAAGAGTTAATGATAAATCTCTAAATTGACTTTGGGAGTGTAAGATAAATTGTTCTAAATTAATGAGGAAAATAAAAAGAATAATATAGCTTGGGAACTAAATTATGTATTTTTTAATGGAGGTTCATCCCACTCTCTGGCTACTTCAACCCTCGGTGCTCTGGACAAGCTCCAAGGGCCAGCTGCCCTGACTTGTTTTGCTCAGTGTCTCCCCACCCCCACCTAATGTGGAAGACACTGCTGAAAAGGACGGGGTGTTTTATGGGTTAGGTATTCGCCCACAGGTAGTTATTCATGTCTAAACATCTGAACTCTGACCTAATGTGGATGTCATTCTGGGACATTACATTAAAAGTCATGATGGCCCTACCAAGAAATGCAGGGGCCAACCTTTCTCCTCCCCCAGGGGGATCGTGGCGAGGCGCCTACCTTTTCCCTGGGGCGCGGGTCTAAAACGGAGGGGATAGTTCCGTGTTCTCCCAGTGTATGTATATGGGGGGGGGGGGTTCTGGGGATTTGAGTGAGGGGGGAACAGAGGCCAGAGCCTGGGACCCAGAAACTCTGCCCAGAGTCTGCAGTTAGATCCTACTTTTCTCGGGATAAGAAATCTGTGCTCGGTGAACGTCGGTGTCTGAGAAATCCAATCAGAGTACACAGATTGAAACGCAAGGCCTGTTTCCAGAGACCGGCTCACGGAGCACAGACATTCCTTACTGTCTGGACACTTCGGTCACAGGCGATGGCCTGGCTCTGGGGCGATGCAGTTCTGGGCTCTTTTCCCCACTGCTCCCCAAGCCACCTTGTCCCGCACTCTCTTCTCTTCCCGCCTCTGAGCAGCTTCCTTCCTCCGCCTTAAGGACAGGGGCTGGGGTAAGAGTGAGAGGCGGCTCCGTCCCCGAAAACAAGCAGCCAGACACACAGACAGCAAGGCCCTTGTCTGGGGGAGGGAAGGTCCTCAGTGATTGCATCACATGTTCCCCTCAGAGACTACCTCTGAGGGGCCTCTTTCTCCAAGACTCTGGATGGATTGTTAATGGAGAAGGAATAGGAATGAGGCTTATTTAAGATATAAAAATCTTACATTTGAAATAACCTAAATTTATAGATATAAAACAAGTCTTTTAAAGACCCCCCCAGAGTACCCAATATAAAACAGGAATTACTTATCCTAGATCCCCTTGGGTAGATACATGTTATTCTCTGTGCAAAGAGCTGGCGGACATGAACGAAAGCTGCTGCACGTGTCACGTGAGGAAATGCGTTCCCTCCTCCACAGGGCAGGGTGGGGAGCAGGGCTGGGGGCCAGCGGCGGCAGAGGGCCCTTCCTCAGGCATTCCGGACACTCTTTCTGTGGTCCCTCTGCTCCTCCGTTTACTACAAAGGCGTCCCCGGGACCCCTCCGGTAGAAACTGACTCAGATCAGAGCAATTTTGACACAAGTCACCAAGAGGGAAAAAAAACTTAATTTGCTAGATTACCCAGATGTGTAGTTTGATGCACTGACCAAGGAAAGAGTCATTTCCGCCACCCAGCCCCACCTCCCGCTGAGAACACTTCCCCAGAGAACATCTCTGCGTGGGCAGGACGCAGTACCGGTGAGGCCGCCGGACTGCCCGGGTCAGCGGCCGGGCGATCACAGCCGCCTCAAACGTCGGGCGGGCTCGGCCCCTGCCACGGCCCACACCCTGGGACTCTTACACGATTTTCCCTGTGTGCTGTGTTAATAGGCAAATTATTTATGAAACCTTTTTTTTTTCTGTAAAGCAAAATAAATATATACAATTTAAAGTTCTTTTCTCTTCTAAAAAGGTACAGATCGTATGACCTGAACATCAGTAAGAAAATTATTTCAGACCTGGATCTCTAATAAATAAACATGATTGGTGATCATGGTTTTAAAGTTCTAGGAGACCATAACATCACAAAAGATTGAGTTAGGAGACTGAAAAATAACTGACTGTGGAAAGTACTAAGAAATATGATTGCATGAAATTTGGAAAAAAAAAAAAAATCCATGATCCTTAAATTGATCCCAAACCTTGAAAGGACATGAAACATTATAGAAACAGTTCTGTTTTGCTACCAAAGTGTTATTCCACTTTAAGTATCTCATAAATTTCTCTTTGCTTCTGTAAACTTGCAAAAGAAGTGATGAGGGTGGCCGACGTATGGTGACTGGACTGCGCAGCAGACGGGACTGTTTCCTCCTCTCGGCCGGTCTCAGTGGCCCTCGTCACTACCCGACGAGCAGGCCCAGTCGTAGATGACCAAGGGGATGCTGATCAGGGAAAACAACACCCCCAGGGCCAAGAAAAGGGCAGCCTGGGGCAACAGAAAGGCACCGGTTACCCTCAGGGACGCAGGCGTGCCCCACCTGCACCTGGGGACAGGCATGAATGCTTCCCCCTCCTCTTGTGCACCCCTGTGCTGGGAGTTTGTTACAACCACTGCTGGACCACGAGAACCTTTCTGAATCTGATCCTCCCAGGATGGGGAAGTAAGAACAAACTATACAGCGCTGCCCTCTGCATACTGTTTTTGCCTTTGTGGTCACTCAGACTGAAACCTGTTCCCCAGCTGCCTGGGTATCCTTAAAGCGTCTCTCTAACTAAGACTACAACTTAAAAAAAAAGCCCTGGAAAACATACAGGCCATTTCATTACTCTTTACCAACCAACCTAGGTTATCGCTGGCAGCAAGCATTTCTGTTTGAAAAGTGAAAAATGATATAAAAGCAAAGTAAATTGAACCAAGTGAGATTAGAAATGGAGGTCAAAAACTAATTGGCCACAGTAATAATTCTATACAACGCCAAGTGGGCGCTTGAAATCGCAGGGGGGGGCCACTGTGTAAATGACTGTCTAACCACTACGCTGTACTCCTGACACAAATACAAAATACTATTAAATGTAAAAAAAAAAAAAAAAAACCAACTAAGTTACTTAAAGGGTTGATGAAGGCCACACATGGACAGGTTGTTAAATCCAGAGTCTGGAGGACACGGGCTTATAAACTGTTTGGCCTTGAGACTCTCCACTGAGGGCTCTGCAGGGACAGGGGCACCACGAGGGCCAAGGGGCTGGATGGGAGTCCCGAGGACAGAGCTACGGTGGGACTGAGGGGGGTGAGCCGGGGCCAACCATCATGGGTCTGGTCTAACTCCCAGTGGGTCCTGAAATGGACTGCAGTCCTTATCTAATGTTATTCAGTAGTAGTTCCCACCACAGGTTTTATTATGGGAATGGGGTTGTGGAAGCCCAGAGAATTCACAGGCAACAGGTCTCTACCATTTTCAGATCTTAGTATATTTTACTGCTGAGCCAGAGAGACTGCTCCTTCCTCTCTGCCATTGTAAAATAATGATGGGTAAAGTTGAAAAGGATTTAGGATTTATGGCTTTAGGGATAATCCTGTTGGAGAAGTAGATGCATCAACACTACTTCTCCCAAATGCACAGGGCCCATCCCTCCTGCCTGCGTCCCTCTTCAGTCCGGGTCAGCTGACTCAGGTAGTGTGTGACCCAGGAGTGCTTCCACTGTCTGGGAGGGCAGCCGAGAAGCCTTCTCCGAGGCCCAACAAAATGGTGCTCCAGAAGGTACTCATGTAACAGCCACTTCACCCCTGCTTCCCTCACTGTCTCCAAGTGCACCACCTTGAAGATGCCCTTGAACTTTACCAGACCTGGAAACAAGAGTCCCGATACAGAAAGGTAGTTTCTGAATCCAGGTCTGTTGCTCCAAAGCATTTCTGTCACATCATAAGAGGACTCTTTAAGCCCCTGCAGCCGTTTACGGTAAGGCATGACATATTTCCCGAGCTGCAGGGGGAGCGGCACGACCTGGAACTGCACAGACAGTGGGCTCCGCATCACGTCTCTGAGTCCCTCTGCACTCCGTGTTGTTGCTAAAGATAAGGCACCGCCTATAGAGACACAGGACGATAAACGTCCATCCTCCCAGCAGGCCCTGCCCTGGCTCAGAGCAAAAGCAAAGGTTCAGTAAGAATAATACCTGAAAAGATATTTTTGAGGAAATAGGATTCTGATGAAATAGTTTAAATCCCCCAAGGGGAAAACTACAGGGCTGCTGCCTTTCTTCAAGGCTGCTAAAAGTTGTGTCAGACGGCAGAGACGGACTACTGCTTTGGTAAATTTAAATGAAAAACTAATCAGAAAAATTAGGGTGGCTGGCATAAGACATACCCAAATCCTTTGAGTTCCTTTATCTCCATCCTGGTTTGTGATTTTTAAATAAAGAGATGAAGGAAGAATGAAAATAAGCATATTAGCAGATGTAACACCTGTAAAATAAGAAAAAGTTTGACATTACTGTGACATTTTCACTTTCTAAGTAGCTGCTATAAGAGAGTATGAAGTCATAAAGCCATACCAACGACTCCAAAGATATCCTTCATAGTGGGAATGAAGATCACCAACAAGTTGATGATAACCAAGAGTATGAGGGTGACAACGATGTGACGACACAGATTGAACTTTGTTTTCTTAGCCAGTTCAAACAAAGACGAGCGAACCTGTGGGAGAGGAAGAGGAAGGCTCGGTCAGGCCTGCAGCACGCCGCCCCCCACCGCTCGCTCTCGGCAGAACCTGACGTGTTGGCGCAGGGCTCTGTGAACTGTTTCGTCATTTACAGACAGCTTTGCAGTGTGGGAAGCAGGGGGGCTTGGTTTAAGATGGACAAGCATTTTTATTTACGAACAGATTATTTCCTTGTATCGGGGATAATTTCCATTTTTGTTTTATCTATGGCTACCGTGTTCCCTTCTGGTCCCTCTCCGTTCTCTCATTGTGTACGATCAAGATTCGAACATTCTATCTGCATTTCTCTACAAAAGAGAGCAACAGGCCAGTCAGAATTAAGATCCGTTCCATCAGAATCTGCCCCATCTCACTGATCCCACTTTCCTCCCGGAGAGTCTCCGCTGGGTCTGGGATCCTCCCCTGAGGCGGTGTCAGTGACACAGGAAGCCACCTGCATCTGGCCTCCCCTGGACCGGGCTCCTGATGACGGAAGGGAAGGCGAGGCCTCGGCGGTTCTCGGGTTGCACGGAGGCTGTACTCACCGTGAAAAACAACACCGGCACTGTGAGGATGACGGCGACAATGACAGCCAGCCGCACTGTCAGGATGAGAACGTCGTCTTTACTCTGGTACTTGTGGAGGAGGTCTGACTGCACGCCTTCTAAAATGAGGGGAAAGGAGGTGTTAACGAGGAACCAAGCACACCCCCAACGACACGGAATCTGTCAACTATAATCTAAAGGGTAAGAAACACAATGACCTAAAATGTCAAAACAACTCACAGAGCGGAAAAGTTCCCTGGGTGAGATGTGCTCTACCTGTCCATCGTGACTTTAACTCAGAAGAATTTAGAGTAATCACCAGAAGCAGCTACCCAGAATGCGTATGCTTTGTTTATGCTAAAATTAATCCTAGGAGTAAATGGGGACTAAAAATAATACAGATTGCAGCACAAAGCTATTCTTAATCTAGATTTCCTCCACTGGGCGCCACCCACCGAACAACGCCAAACAGCCACAGTCTTGTGAGTGGATGAGCGGGTGGCAGGCCATTCGGGCGCCTCTTTCAAACTCGCCTCTTACAACTCAACCTTCAGTAGCCCAGCAGCAGAGGTGCCAGTGGAACTTAACCACCATCAAGAAATTATTCTTCTCTTTCATGTGTGTTTCTTTTACCAAAAAAACAAAAAAGATTATTTTGCTTATGTACCACTTTGAACTTTTTCCCACTCTGAACATCAGAAAGTTTATTTCAAAGATGCCCAAGAGCTAGAATGGCAGTCACTGCGAGTGGAAAACGCTCACTCCTTTGACGGGAGAGCAACACCACCTCCCCACCCCCCCTCCTTCCAAGGGCTTCTCACTGCACCTTGGGTTTCGTCCCCTTTAACTTTCTATGTCATTCCTTCAAATCTTTGCAAGCCTCCAACTTCTGGTGAAAAAATAGGCATTTTATTTTTAATTAATGGGAAGTGTCATGAGTGTGGTACTTTGCTCTTTCTCACTTTCAACATCTGTCTGTCTCTCTTTTCTATTAATGGAGTCTGACTTAATTCGCAACAGCAATTAGGAAATTCTGATATAGCTTTCACTTTCCTCAGTAACAGGTGGTATGCTTATAAAAGGCTATTTCTTTTAAGAACAGTATTAGGAGAAAGAAATTACAGTATATTGTTTTTGGTAACTATTCTACAGTACAGTGGCTTTAAGCAGAGGAAAAGACCAGCGAAATCGATGGATACATGTGTTTCTTTTTAAACTGTCATGTTAAAGGTTACTTTGATATTGATTTTTTACCAATTCATTTACAGTTACCTACATCCAAGTACTGACAGAAGTTACTTACCATAGAATGTCAAGTAGCCAAAGATGGCAGTCAGGAAGTACATGACAAACATGGCAAAAAAGGAGATATTGGAGACCATCTGCATCTTCTTCTGTGATCGACTAAAAACAAAGATAAAAAATTTTGAAAAATTAAAAGCCATGTTACAGAATTGTAACACGTTCACATGGGAGTGTTCATTAATTCTAACCTAACTTTCTATCAGGGCGGGGCGGCCTGGCCAGCTGAAGTTTCCCGGGCAATCTCCCTGGTTTAGAATAACTTCATTTCTACTGAAGGGGTACTGTGAGAGAGAGACATCCATGGAACTAACACTTCTTTGCATATTCTTACCCATTCTTTTGAAAGAATATCAAGTTATTATGTGAAGGACAGAGAGTATTTTTTTTAATATTGCTTGATATTATCTACACAACCAGCCTTCACAGGAGATAAGGCAGAATAAATTCAAATAGTGTTCTCCTAGCCCCAGAGACTGAGGGCAGAGCTGGAACCTGACCTTGGGGGTTCTGTTGCTAAAGCTGTTACTTAAGTTCCAGTTTTCCCACTGAGTAGCCTGCGAGACACATGTAGAAGTCTATTTCTCCACAGCAGTAAGTTCCCAAAAGATCACAGAAGGGTGATACAGAGGGACTCTGTCTCTCAGGTCAGGTTTACTCTGGGATGAGCCTTTAAGTCTCTTTAGCTGCCCAAACAAGGAATCCACGAGACTCGTGCTCAGTGACCGACTGCCAGCAGTCATGGGTGGGCATGTTATAATGGGGAGTATGGAAGAGCGGAAAATTTGACACGTGCACACATGAGAAAAGGACAAATTAAAAGCAGGACAATAAAATTTAAAAGATGCCAAAAACATGATTAAATACTCTAAATCCAGGATCCTAAAGTTGGCACTGATATACCCACAGATAAGTAGATATAAATATTTCAATTTACCTATATTGATTAAATAAGAAAAAGGAAGAATCATGAGTGAATTCAATGCTAAATGATTTCAACTTTTTGTTTCAAAATGGTAATAGCTATATTGTATATCTTTTCTGAGCTTAAGACTATGCCAAAGTGACTTTTTATACAGAAAGTATGATAACAGTAAGCTAAAAAGAGAACCGATGAGGAAACTTATAAGTAGGCCTTTAGTTTCCTCCAGAATAACAATCAAAAACAAATGCACAGAAACATCTTACTAATTTAAAATGAACACCAATATTCTTTTGTCTCATTTGTGGTCTTAACATTAATTTCTCTCTGCCTGATTCACAGCCTTTTCCACCTAAACCAACAGGCGAGTCAGAGATGATGTATTTAGCAGTTTACAGATGACCCTGAAGGTCACTGTGTGCTACTGCCAAACAGGTATAAGTTACAAGAGCCCCACAAATACTTGAATTCGCCTAAGTAATACACATTTGAAAAACCAGATAAACAGAAAAAAGCCCACAGAGTTGGCCACTTTATATATTTATACCCAAAATATACTGCAGGTTTCTGGTTTTCCTTGCTCTTTTTTTCCCCCTTAAAATACAGTACTTGCTCCAGAGCAGCACAAGTAAATGCTGAAGCTGGGTGATACGGCCACGTGAGTCCGTTTATTTTTACATGGCATTTGCCTAGTAATGAGGGGTTATAAAGTGATTAAGATGAAAAACTCTTACTCTTTAAGCTCGCTGTAAATTGGCAGAACTGACGGATGGCAGACAAATGCAAACGCGATGGTTGGTAGCGCATACACGGTCTATTTCAAAGAAAAAAAAACATTAAAAAAGGTATTTTTACCATAAAATTATATAGCCCCAGTAGTTCTGAGCTGTCTTTTATCTGACAGCCCTTCAGAGTCCCCGGATTATTTGGTTATTTGGAGGGCTTTGATATCTGAAGCAGGAGCAGCTTTTCTCAGAGAGCTTATCCAGCTTGAGACATTAGCACTTGGCACAGAAGGGGTTTGGATTCAGCTCACCGACAGCGCACCGTGCGTACTCTAGTCATAGCGTAACCGCATTTATGCGGCGCTAACCAGTTACACAGCACTTTCCTACGTTCTCTTGCTGGGCCCCTCCCAACCCTGAGCAGTGGACAGACCACTGCTGTTCTCCTGACTCCCTCCGAAGGTTAGGGGACATGCCTAGAACTTCCACATCCATTTTACTGCTCTTTGCTATCTATAAGGTGCATCGAATCAGACTTAAAGGATGGCATCTAAAAAGAAAATTAGTTCCACATTCACTGCTTTGGTTGCATCCTTAGAGTTGAAAGAGAGAGACTGATTTAGTTTTCTTAGATAAGACCTTTTAAAACTTTTAAATTCAACTTCTTATCCAAAAAGAAGCTGGTAGAGAAGGAAGGAAAAGTAGCATTTCTCATGCTTTAATTCTGCCCAAACACTATACCAGGCACATTCTTAAACACACAAAACCTGGTAAGCCTTGGCCAGTGTGGCTCAGTTGGTTGGAGCATTTTCCCACAAGCCAAAAGGCTGCCTGTTTGATTCCCGGTTGAGGCCCATGCTTAGGTTGCAGGTTCGGTCCCCTAGTTGGGATGTACACGAGAGCCAACCAATTGACGTTTCTCTCTCACACCGATGTTTGTCTTCCCCTCTCTTTCCCGCCCATGCCCTCTTTCTAAAATCAATACATGTGCTCGGGTGAGGATAAAGAAAGATAAAAAGATTCTAACCAAAGAAAAGAAAAAACCTGTCAGACACAGAGTAGATATAGAATAGAAGACTCATTTTCACACGTGGGATTGGGTAACTTGCTTGAGGATTCTGATCCACGCCTCAGTGGGGGGGTCCATAGCCCACTGTTCCCGATACCGCCGACAATACCTCAACAGTATGAAACTTAAGGGCCACCGTGGCGCCATCTGTATTTCAACTGCGCAAGCATGGGAAATCTGAGGTATTCCTTTTGTCATGACCAGATAGGAAGCTGTGGGCTAAGGATGCCATTCATCTATTTTTTAAAGATCTATAAGGAAGAACTGAGATAATTATCGAGAAAGAGATTTTCTCAGACAATGCTTAAAGTTGTCCTACATGTAAACTGGGATAAAAGGGAGCATGAAATATTTGTATATTTTTCAAAGGTCTCTAAAAGAATTGTGGGATTCGGAAGTAGGGGTACTGTGTTCTTTTGAGGTTGAATACATTGAAAACAGTTTAATTACTATGAGAATAAGAAATATAATACCCTTAATAAAAGTGTTCTTTTTATACTTAAGGATAAAGAAACTTACCTTTGAATTGAAGGTAACATATTTTGGCGTACACATGTCAGCATTTGTTGCATTAGCACTTGTTGAATTTAGCGCTGAAACAATGCAGGGAATTTGAAATTTCTTGTAGATAACCTGATATAGGAGAAACAATATAGACTTTATCAAATAAAGCCAAATAAGGAATAATTTTTACATGGCGTTGTACTACAGCAAAAAGCAAACCAACCGTTCCAACCAGCACTTACCACTATTAAAAAAAATACCATACAGCTCAAGGAAAATCCACTAGTATAGCCAAGATACCCTAAAAAAGTTTAAGAAAATTATTATTATTATTTCATCCATCACCTGATTTTTTTCAATGAATTTTTTTCATGCATAGTTTGGGGTTCTAAGAGTACACATACATGCTAATGTGAATATAAGTTTTTTTATTCGATAGTGCTACTTTATTTGGCAAAAACGTGACTTTAAATACAAATATTATATTATGTGCTTTGATTCTAATTCTCCCTGACCCACCAGAGAACACAGATTCCCAGAATCCAGGGAAATGTAGTCACAGATTTCTGTTGCTATATTCTGGTAGACACCCGGGGCCAAACCCACTATTCTTTATTATGCGCTTAGTGTGTGCACATAATGACTATCAGCCGCGATACTTCTCTTCCCAAATGAGAGGCATGCACAGAGGAGATGAAGTGATTCCTAGGGACAAACTGAGCATCTGCGGATCTTGGCCACGCTCCCCTCCAACCGCCGTAACCTCCAGAAAGGCAGAGTTCAGTGGCCCTGGGGAGCTGTACTATTCTCATCCCTGGGGGGGAAGAGCCCTTCTTTACTTAAAACAGTTACGTGCATATACATAGAAAAGCCTAAACGCAGACCCAGAAACCAGAAAATTAGGTAGATTTGGTTTTTTTGTGTTTTTTTTTTAAGTCTTACAGGATCTTACAGGACAGCTACAGAGAGAGGCTTGATATTTATACAAAACAAGAAACTATGGTTAGCCATCATTTTGGGGAGAACTTTAAACGTCTACCTGGAATTAGGCCAGAACTAAAGGAAATGCATTTTAGAGGCTTTGGACTAGCCGCCAGTGCGGCCACATGGTCCAGGCTGTGAAATTCCCATAACATCAGGCACACTTGTCTCTGACTGTAAGCACACACAGAGTCCAAATGGGCATGACTCAGTGACCGTCTATCACTTCTGACTTGTCGCTTCTCCTTCCCTTTAATGAGGCAAATAAGTAAGACTGCTTAGACTTTGATAACTTAAAAGAGTAATTCATTTTACTTTGGGGTATAAAAACATGCAACTTTCTGACCTGATATTAGATTTAAAAATCTAACTGTCTAAATAATCAGGGCATTTAAGACCTTGTATGAGGGAAATTCCATTTTTTGGCCTTTTCTCAGAATAGCCCAGGAGCACTGTCTGCCCGCCTCCACAGCCTACTGAGTGACTGCTCAGGGCCAGTACTTTTATGCCATTAGAAAGCTGACACTGATCAACAGTAGTAATTTATCACTTACTTCATCTTCACTATACACATAAAAGTAGAAGGCAAAGTTGTTCATTTTACTAGGTTTCTGATTCATCTGGGCACTGTAAGAGTATGATAAAAGCAAGATCTTTCCTTACCTAAATTCTTCAAGAGACACAGAGGGAGGATTATGCCGAAAGTAACTATCACCACGAGAACACGGCCATCCACGTACCAGGCTCTGAAAGACATTTAAGCGGTTAGGTTGTATTTCCTCAAAAGGAACATTTTTTCTTAAGTGTAAAACTTCACAATATTTTCTAACTGATTTTTTACTATTATTGTTTTTATCATTATTCAGGTTTTATCCAAACACTTTACTCGTTTACTATCAACTGACTTCTACTCATTTACTATCATCTTTCTCCCACGTGATGGAAGAAGGCACATTGTTTTTTCTCCCTCGTTGGCTAAACGTGGCCAATGACGCCTTTGAATTATTTATCTGGTTTCAAAGCTGAATGCACACAGTGCATTTTGTCAGATTACAGCTTGTACTATCAATTATTTAAAGAGAAAGTTTCTTTTTGTTTTGCTAGGCTAATATCATCAAAAAACAAGTCACCACAGGTAGGCACTGTTCTCTCCCTTAGCTCTTGTATTTGACCTTGAATCCTGATTATTAGAAGACTAGGAACTATGGCTTCCACGATTCTGCCTTGAAGGAAAACAGGGAAACTAAGACTGACAAGAACTGTTAAACAAAGGAGAGTCAAAATGTAAGGGACGTGCCAAATGTGGCTGTGACATTTTCCAGGGTTAACTGCTCATTTAATGACGGGGGCTCATATAAACGGTGCTTCTCAAATGCTATGCCCCTTCTTTAAGAAAGGGCCTTATTATTATTATTATTATTATTATTATTATTATTATTATTATTATTTTCACATGTTCCACCTCTGTGTTAAAAATACTCCCTATCTGCTCTATTTCACAGGAACCAGATATAGATTTCAGGCTCCTGGGAAAACCTACCGTTCGCAGCATGACAGATAAATCTACCTTTTTTTTTCCTTTTGGGGGGCTAGTCTGGGATAAATCTACCTTTTAAATGCTCATATTCATTCAAGCGGTTCTCTCTGCTGCTTTTATTTATATGACTCCAGAGAAATTTATTGAAACAACAAAGAGAAAAACAGCCTGGGGAAAATTTTGGTTTGACAATTTTCATAAAACAAAAACTTTGGTGCACTCACATTTAAATTAAAAACATTTCCGTTATCTCACAAAATAAAAAAGGGGCCTATAACTTACGAAAATGTCTCTTCCTTTCCCATCAGAAACTTCAGGGCAGAGGGTAGTTCATTTTTTACTATGAAGAGGTAGCTCAGCATCGCTAGAGGAAAACGAGAACCTTTTAGAAAGAAGATACTAGGGCTCGTGTTGCAAGCTCTACAAAAGGTTACCAGCCTGTTCTCAGACTGACCTTCAGTAAGACACAAAGACAGCTTTAGATACTCTCCCAGGACCCTCGGCTTTACAAGCTGTACTGCCACTCTGCCTTACTCCCCATGTGCCGTCTCAGTGAGATGAAAACTATCCATGTGGCCGCCCAACCACCAGAGCCAGAGAACACAGCAGCGCTCATCCACTTCACAGCTAGGCACAGAGAGGCACGTTTCGTTTTTACCTCCGGTGTTCTGTAGAGAGGTGGCCCCGAAGATGACAAGCTTCCCCGTGGTGCCGAAGACCTGTTCTCCCAGCTTTTCGTAAACCATGCAGCCTATTTAAAAATCGTATTTGAGAATACAAGAAATGACAGGGCTCTAAAAGTTAAAAACAGCCAAGATTTGATCATGCTGTGGACTATTCTCCAACTTACTTTGTGTCTTTCTCAGAATCACACAATCAGCCTTCGTGGCTTGGCAAGGGTTAAGGCGTTCTCAGTATAAAACAACCTCCTAACATTTAAAAATGTCAGGCGTGACCACAATTTCTCCTTTTTTCACGCTGGCTGCAAACAGTTAAACTATTAGGTCATAAGGCTCATTTTTGACTAGTGGTGCCTCAAATAGGCTTTTTACTTTACTGGGGGGAAATTCCCACTCTGATCTATTCTCGGGTCTGGCGAGGATCATTAAAAAAAGGCTGAGTCTGAAACGAAAACTGATGGTTGAGAGGAAAGGCTCCTTTAGAATTAATAACCTGAGTGATTAGCTAACCAAGAATGATTGTAATCACATTCCATCAATGCCTGTGTCCTAAATATAACAAGGTTAGAAACACGCAACAGGCATGATGTCAGGATTCCGACTGTTTGTGAAATTTAGTTCAAAGATAAACAACTCACAAAAGAGCAGTAGAGAAGTTTACCTAAGAATAATTTGGCTATAGCAAAATTCCCAAGTGTTCAACTAGCTTATCTCAATAAATACTAAGATTGTAAATGATTCATTTAAAAATGTTTATATTTCTTTATGACAGTTCAGCTCACATTTTCAAAAGGTTCACAGAAAGTAATATGGGTCAGGCTAAGTTAAACTTTTGTTTAATTTCTCCTAAGATTGGTGTTTAAACCAGACAATGGTTGGATCCTTAATTTATTACAAAATGTTCCACTTACGGGGAGTCGTCTATATACAATAGTTGGCCGGTGTGGTTGTAGCTAATGTAAAAGTCAAAGTATTACAAACACAGGCCACTGTCCCAGGACTAGAAAGTAAACACTTCAGTTGTTACACTGCCCAGAGAACGTGAAATCCTGCCATGGCACACGCACTCCCACGCTGCCTCGGCAGCGACATTTTCTCCCTGGAACTTGTACCAAAGAGAATGAAAGCTCTGTTTACTTCTAAGAATTGGAGGCTATAATATGAAAAACATGGGATTCTTGTTCTGAATTTATCAAGACCCAAGGAAAAACCGGAGCCTTTAAAATGAAGTCACCTTAAACTAGAAAAAATGGGTCCAACTGAGGGTTTACTTCGAATGACACCACTGTTCATTGTTCATGACCAGTTGCTTTATAGCTGCTCTGTCTGTTTCTCTAGGGAAACACTAATACGGGTCTTCCGGCCACTGCAGGTCAAAGTGCCCTTTTTCTTGAATAATCAAGTTTCTGGACAGGAAGAGCATCATTTGCTAACAACATCGCCACTGCAATCATCCATCCTGGCCTTGAGGAGATTAGGCACATCATCAGTTTACCTGTTTCCTTCGAGCAGATCAGCAGAAGGTTTATTGAGTATATAGACAGCAGTGTCACCGAAGACAGAAGGATCCTAAAGCAAAGACAAAAGGTCTTGCAATAACTGTAAAAGAACATACTCTCACCTTCCATTCTGGAAGGACAAAGGCTTATTTATATGGTTAACACCATTTGTTGACAGTATCCACATTTGGGAGCCTATGAGTCACGTCTTCTTTCAAATCCTCAATAAAACTGTTCTACCAGATGAAGAACTGCCCATTAGAATCTGAGCAACTGAGAGTTCAAAGCCTAAACAGCAATCTGGGATCCTTTCAGTTGGGATGGTTCTAAAGCAACATTATGAAAGAAAGCTTCTGCAGTCTGTGGTGCCCTGCTCCATCCGAGTGGGAAGCTGTGAGAAAGGGGTGTGGCTGAGGGGAGGCTGGGGAGGCCCCTTAGGTCAGCGACCATGTGACTTTGGGCAACTGGTTCAGTTTCTCTCATCCCTAGATCCCTCACCTGTAACATAAAGACACAAGCCAATTAGTATCTAAAGTTCTTTTCACCTAATGATCTTATGGCTATTTATGAATCTATACATTGGACCACTGAGATAATCCACTTTTTTTTTTTGCACTTGGTGTTCCTCTTGAAAGAATAAGCACCTCTTTTAATGGATGGGAAAACTCTGACAATTAAGCACAATGAAAACAGTTTTCTGAATGGTGAACTCATGTTTTTGTTTTAGTACATCTGGCTCATCATGAAATTTTCCTCGAGAAAAAGCAGTGAAAAATGATGTGGCAGATGACACAGATTATCTCTGAATCCTTTGGCTAAAACAGACATAATAATTAAAACTAAATCTATTTATTAAAAAGAAAAAATTTCCAGTGCCCCAGATGAAACCACTCACTTCCTGCTATAAGGAAACATATCCCTAGAACAACGTATTACTGTGACTGACTCACTGTTTGAGTAACTGAGGCAATTATTTCTCTAGCAAGTGCTATTGAGAGGTACTCGGCACAGCATGCAGGCCCCTCTGTGGGGGCCGTCTCCTCCAAACCTGTTCCCCACCTCTCAGGCCTGTGGAACCACGGCCTTTTGGCCCAGCTCACATGTCACCTCCTCAGGGGCCCTCCCTTGCCCCCCGACAGAAAGACTGCTCTCTCATACTACAGCATTGTGTTCCCACCGTGGGCAGTACAGCCACGCAGAGATAAATGGGGAGTAAAATGGTCAGCTGTAGAGCAGACAGGCTGCCAGAGAAGGCCAGAAAACACAAGAGGGACAGAGCTCAGCAGAAGTAAAGCAAACACTGGGAGAAGCAATAGGAAACCTAGCAGTTTGGACGAAGGTTAATAAATAAAAAGGACTAGCAGTTAATAAAGGGAAATGTGGGTAAGGAAGTGCATTCGGCTGTGTAATGACTTAGCCAAGGTCCTGAGCAGGAGGGTGATGAACAGGGGAAGTCCCTTGTTATCTGTATTGGTTGAGGCACACAAGAAACTGAGAGCAAGCGTTTATTAATTAACCCATCCCGTAGTTTTGAGATACGAAGGGAACCTAATTTGATATGCTCTGCCAGAGAGTAAGATAGAGGATAGAGTTGAGGCCTGATTCATGGCTCAAGAACAACTCAGAGCTCCAGAGCCAATAAATCTAAGTGATGAACAAATAGCCAAACTTTCAGATGCACAGTTCAAAACACTGGTGATCAGTATGCTCACAGAACTGGTTGATTTTAGTCACAAATTAGAGGAATGTATGAAGGCTAAACTAATTGAAATGAATGGAAATGCACAGGAAACCAATAGTAATGGAAAGGAAACTGGGACTCAAATCAAGGGAGCAGACCAGAAGAAAGGAAAAAAATGACCAAATAGAAAAATATGAAGAAACAAGAATTTTAAAAAATGAGAGGCTTAGGAACCTCCGGGACATCTTTAAACGTTCCAACATCCGAATTACAGGAGTACCAGTAGGGGAAGAGGAACAGTCACGAGTGGAAACCCTATTTGAACAAATAATAAAAGAGAACTTCCCCATTCTGGCAAAGGAAATAGACTTCCAGGAAATCCAGGAAGCTCAGAGAGTCCCAAAGAAGTTGGACCCAAGGAGGAACACACCAAGGCACATCATAATTACAATAGCCAAGATTAAAATGAAGGAGAGAATCCTTGAAGCAGCAAGAGATAAGGGGACAGTCACCTACAAAGGAGTTCCCATCAGACTGTCAGCAGATTTCTCAAAAGAGACCTTACAGCCAAGAAGGGGCTCGAAAGAAGTATTCCAAGTCATGAAATCCAAAGACCTACAACCAAGACTGCTCTATCCAGCAAAGCTTTCATTTAGAATGGAAGGGCAGATAAAGTGCTTCTCAGATAAGATCAAATTCAAGGAGTTCATCATCACCAAGCCCTTATTATATGAAACGTTAAAGGGACTTACCTAAGAAAAAGAAGATAAAAAAGATGAACAGTGAAAGGAAAGCAAACTCACAGTTATTAACAACCACACCTAAAACAAAAGCAAATTAAGAGGACAGCTAGATCAGGAGTGAACCATAGAAATGAAGATCTCAAGGAGGGTTAGCAACAGGGGAGTGGGAGAAGGAGAAGGGGGGAGAAAGTACAGAAAATAAGTAGCATAGATAGTAGATAGAAAATAGACAGGGGGGAGGGTAAGAATAGTAGGGGAAATATAGAATCTAAAGAACTTGAGACACATGTTCATGAACTAAAGGGGGGGAATGGTGGGGGAGGGGTGTGCAGGGTGAAAGGGAATGAAGGGGGGAAATAGAACAAATGTAATGGCATAATCAATAAAATAAAAATATATATTAAAAAAGAAACTATTTATGTTTGAATTTTACTCAGGAGTTCACACATGACTTTAGAGGGACTGAGCAGGAAGGGGCAACTCCTACACGTGCGTGTGACAGGCTGTTGAGGATCTGTGTGTGGCACAGAATAGCACGGCCTTCCCAGGGTCGGATGGAAGCAATTTGAGGGTCAGCTTGTGCTGTTCCAGAGTGACTGTGCAGCCCGTTGAGTTAGTTGTTCCGGGACTGGCCTGGGGAAGAAAGGGGTTTTACCACTGGGCCCCGGGGTAATGAGTCAACAGTATGACCTAGTAGGAGTTGTGTGCTTAGCAGAAGTGGTAATTACTGACATCTACCTAATGATTAACAAAAGGCCTGATGTCTAGGATAACTGGTTACTTATTAGAAAAGAAACATTCTAAGGAAACTGTGTTCCCTAGTGAATAGCCCCTGGGACCACCACCTGGCTCTTGCACTGGTTACCTCTTGACGAAGTCTTTTGGGCTGAATCTCTTCATAGATGATGCTTAGCTGGCCAGTGGGCCTTGGCAAAAGGTAATGGATTTCCTCGTGAACTCCTACCACTTATTTTTCTTTCTCAAGTAAGAGGAGTATTTTTTACAGACATTATTTATTTACTTTTAGAGAAAGGGGAAGGGAGAAAAAAAGGGAGAGAGGAACAGCAACATCAGTGTGTGAGAGAGATCCATCGATTGGTTGCCTCTTGCACACCCTGAAACCTGACCCACGACCCAGGCAAGTGTCCTGACAAGTGACCTTTCTGCTCACAGGCTGCTGCTCAATCCACTGAGCCACAGCTGCCAAGGCAAGAGAAGTGCTGATCAGGGAAGATTTCAGTAGGGAGTTCACCTATCGTCTCCTCTACATGCGGAAGCAGCATGAGGTCCTCCCACAGTGATGAACACTGTGGGTGTGGGGCTTCGGGTGTGGGGCACACAATGCAATATGCAGATGATGTATCCTAGAATTGTACGCTCAGAACTTATATAAGGTTATTAACCAATGTCATCCTAATAAATTTAATTAAAAACAGTAGCAAGTCAATATGACCATCTAAGAATTTTAGAGTAATCAAATTTATTTTTTTTAATTTAAATATTTTTTAGTATCCTCTGATAATTTCTTCCCTCTTGGGGTAGGAGATTTTAGCTTCCAAGAGAAATTCAATAATAGTAGTAGTAATTAAAAAAAAAGAGGAATCACTCGAGAGAGTACAGTGACTTATTTGAACACTGCTTCTATTCTGGCAAGATGGTGCCCCTATTTGTCCACTTAGATATTTGTACATATAATTATGGTTTCTGGGAAGAGAAACATAGGCTGGTATTCCTGTGCTAAGAGGAATACTAATTATTCATTTCTTTCATTTCATCTGGATATCATATAAGCTTTGGCACTTCTAACCATTGATCTGAAGTTTTAATATGGCTGGGGCAAAAGCTGCTTGCTGAAAAAAATGTTTCAATGGGAACTAAACCTCAGCAACACGGAATTTGAGTTGCCGGCGTGTTGATATTTCAGAGTTACCATTCAGCCTTGAAAAGACGGGGACCTGGAACATGTAACTGGGCCCCGGGGAAAGCAGTAGCAGCAGAGTTAGTCTTCTACAGAATGTGGCCAGGGAACTTTTGAGAACCTTGTGTTAGCATCACTTTGAAAGACATGGTGCAAGGACATCCTAGGAGACTTTATGTCCCCTGAGAAGAAAGAAGCTTGTTAAGAAACACAATTATAGACTCCTGGAATAGGAAGAGACCTTGGAGACAACCCTGCCCAGCTTTTCACCCAGGACAGGAAACGTTCATGCTCCACACCAACACAGAGGCATCGAGGTTTGCTGAGTGTCTCCTGATGGGGTGCGCGCGCGCACACACACACACACCCCCACACACCCCACACCCCCCCACACCCTACACCCCTATCTGGTTTCAGGAAAGGGATAGGTATTGGGACTGAGGGCCAAGCTAAAACTACTGTAGCTACTTCTACCCCGGGGTCTTCGTTTTACTCTCTGGACCCACTGGAATATACCTGAAATCTCAACCCTCTTCCACCTAACAGTCCATCTGACGGTGCTCATTTCAGGACTGTGCTTTTCAACTTCAACATTTCTAATTCTTCAGGCTGTTCATCCTATAATGGAGATTCAGGCTGTTTATGTCTCAGTCACGGTCCAGGTTCTCAACTATCCTTTCTTAATGGCTGTGGGCCCAGAGAAGCACAATGCCACCACATTGGTTTTG